AAAAAAGGTAGTACATGTGTGTTGAATTTTCACGATTTCTATTCGTAATAAATGCTTCTTTTGTCTTACTGTGTCAAGCTTATATCTCGTGTCACAAATTACTAAGTTAAAATTAATGTTACAATTAGAAACATCTATTGATAAATGTTTCTGAATATATAAATTTGTTAACCCTTTATAGAGGAAACTGCAGTCACACAAAAATACGTTCTAGAGGAACCAAGCTTTGTTTAAGATATTTAATACAATGATAAGATAAGTCGCTGCAAAATAAATTTAGACCAGAGTTCAGAATGAACTGCTATGTTTGTGTTCTGTACAGCGTGTCTCAGCAATAATACACAGACACATGTCCAACACCGTAAGCACAATGACTAATGTCCGTAAAGGACCGAAACTGAAATGAAAAGTTGCATTTGAAGAGCACTGATAAAGTTCTGTTCAATAACGTATGCAGGGAAATAAAAAGTAGCAAAGAATAATATCCGCGAATGTGAAAACAATTAATTTAGATGAATCAGAGGCCTTCGATAATTGTAATCGTCCCATAAGAAAGAAGAAATGCCAAAATTGCGTATCAAATGGGTGGAGATAGAGTCAAACACAGATATGGTACTTGTTCAAGATTGCATGAATGGCATCGCTTATCGCAATTTAATATAGCCACAAGTTAGGGAGTATGCACTATATTTTTGCAAAATCGTTGGAGCTTACTTTTCCAGAGGCTATTCCTTTTTTTGACTGCCAGCGTGTACTTTTGATTTATCCACCATATTCGAGTAGTTCATAAAAGGACCTAAAAATTTGAAAATTTGAATGAACAAAGAATCATCTCAAAAAAAGGAAAAAATGGATTATCAGAAAATTATATTTGCGTGTTGTCATTCAGCTAATCTTATATCACACGTTTTAATAAGTATAAAGATCAACAACAAAGTTCATCTTATAATTAGATATTAGATTATATAATTATAAGGCTTATTGGATAATCGTGTTAACGTGGTTGACTCCTGAATTGATTTTTAAAAATTGAATGATAGCATATATGTGTTATTTTTTATATATTATATAATCGTAATATAATCTCGCTTCTTAAATACACCGAGACCAGAAATCAGAAACACAAAGTCTGAATAAAACGAAAAGAGATTCAACTACTGCTTCACGATCTCTTAAACGTGTTTATATAGCTATCACACAAAGTGATTCACATGCTAGGAGACTCAAAGACAGAGTTGCCACAAAAACATCGCAATGAAAATATGTTCATGTACAAAATGCGCCAATAACTTTGATATTTGAATATTTCTATTCCTTCTATTTAAAAACGTATAAAAAACATTATATATGAAAGTTGGTGGTAGATAAATGGCCCTAATGCAAGATCATTTGATAGTAGATAATAAGGTAAAACAAAAAGACATATACTTAGAAATGGTGGGCGGATACATGATCTTAAAGGGCAAGGACTGTATGAACATCACCGAGATATTCTTCTAAAAGTAAATTATAATTCTTTTATTTTTCATAGTAATACTCTCAAACTATTTGAACAGGAATCATGATAATACAGTTCTGCGTAATAAAATATTATTAATCTGTTATATTAACGAAATTAAAAAATATATAAAGTAAACTAAATATAAACTGAAAAGTAACATATTTAATTACGCCACAAAAATTAAAAAGCTATATGAATTTTGAAAAATTATACGAATTCTTTCTCATAATAGCTATTGATAAATATTACAAAAATATTAAGAAATTAATAGAATTATACTAACGTTCGAATACAGAATCTCATATAATAAAATATGGAGTTCTCAAATGTTAAAATTATGCATGCACAATAACATTAAACCAAAAAGAAGATAAAACATTTTTAAAGTTTATACTGGACACTATTTCAGTGAATCTTTATCTCCTAAAGCTAAAGCCATATGGTAGTTGTTAGTCAGACTAATTGTCATTTATCGCTCTAATATGATGAACATGAGTGGATGAGTAATGGACAAAGTAAGAAGATTCAGGACCGTGTATTTTTGTTCTTTCCCACATATTCGCAGAGAAACTATAGATATTACACAAGCAAAAAGATACGATATACCGAAGTAAACATCCTCAAAATGAAAAATTTTATATATAACTAACATTCGGCTATTAAACGGTCTACACAGCCAATGAGTTTTAACAATAGTGATACGTTAAGTACAAAAAATATGAAATTCAAAATCAGAAAGAAGTGAGTGAAGATAATAATTATTGCAAAAATTAAATATTTATTTATCAGAATTATTTATATATGAGAGTTCATATTTTTCATAATACTTATTAGATAAAATTTAATTAAAGACTAGAAAACAAAATACATTGAGAATTACAGATAGTGAAAATAGAACATTTTGTAACATTCGAATTAACGATAATAATAATTCAAATTTCTTGATCCAGGAGCGTATATTGATTCTCTTATCGATGTAAATCGTTTCCAATACCAGTTTATGCATATTGCAATCTGTATAATAAAAATCTAGAGGCTGACACATATCACAACGTGTTTACGCATACCTAATGATATTAAGTATATTTAATGAAGATCGAAACTATTTTATATCCTATAATCAATACCAAGGAATATGCATCAAATGTAAAGACAAAAAACTAATACAAAATAGCTGCAGCAAAATTTTAATGTATCATGCAACCAGACGCCAATCAAACAAATAATAACCTACAATCATACACTACTAGTTACCTGACACTTATGCACTTCTTAACGAGTTCCAATAGAGATTATACTATTTTTTATTGTTTATATCTCAAATGTCAGAGCTGACTAATGATGTCAAGTCCAATTAAGGAAACGAGAAATTTATACGAAAGATTATGTATTAACAATAAGTAAAAACGCGATAAGCAAATTATTATTGTTGTATTAAAATAATACCAATAGTATTGTATAGGACATTTATAATAAGGTTATGAGATAAATAAGTACTATGCACCTAAGTACTGTAAGTTAATAATGAAAGATAGCCTCCTTTCTTATTGCATTTTCTATTCTTCTTAACAATTGTTTAATTTCCATATGATTTGAAATAATAAAATGTTGATAGACAATACGTAATACATATTTGTTACTATATTAATAATAATTACTTAATAATGTAACCTAACTTAAGTATTAATATCCATCAATAAGAAAAAACACAATCAAGATACATATGTATGATCTCGTTCAGACATTTATTTAAGTAAAGTTTTTATTAATAGTTGAATTTATGTCTCTATACGACTATGTACATAAGTATTATAATATAGGTATTATACAAGATAAAGCAAACAAAATTTTAAAAGGAAAGAAAGTTCAATTCTTTCCCGAAGAGAATTATTATTTCTGTTCTTTCTTTGTTTATAATAGAATATTTATAATAAAATTTATAATAAATAATCAATTAAAATAACCAGTACTTCGAGTATATGATACTCTTTTCTTACAATTCCCAATTTTATATTTTTCAATTATTTTTTAAATATGAAATATATTCATTAAAAGCATGAAATATTACTTTTAATTTTGTAATAAGAAAGATGACAAGATATTCAAGTAAAATATAATACCAAATTGTATTAAAATATATTAATTAAAAATAGGCTATGTTGTTCCAATTATTTCATGTATTTTACCATGTTCTAACGAGCATCGGTGGTTCAGTGGTAGAATGCTCGCCTGCCACGCGGGCGGCCCGGGTTCGATTCCCGGCCGATGCAATTTTTTTTTTTAATTCATAAACTTTATGTTATAATATGTTTTGATCAAATTATGATAATGAATTAATTGATATTTTGTGAAACTGGTTATAATTTTATTAAACAATACGATTGTTACAATTGTTATGTTATAATTCGTAATTTAATTGTGTATCAGTAAAAAATTGTATAAAAAATTATTATTATCAAAGATTGGTAATTTATCAAACACTAATGAAATATCAAAATGAAAAATATTTCTACTAAAGGAAAAGATATTTCGCTAATTATAGTATATTAAGAGGTATTGGTGTCAAATGAATATTAAATATGTGTAAGAAACCGAAGAAAAGCATAACCTGACAGTGAAGAATTTATATAAGGATTCTTAACTAGATATTAAATATCCAACATTCCTCACTCTCTTCTGCTTCAAGTATATTTAATTTCAAGAATAGAATTTAGAAACTAATAATGATTAAAAATCAGGATAAAAGAAATTGCGTTATAGAAACTGGAAAGTGAAGTTATATTATTCAAAGAATGCATGAAATCACGTACTATTTTACATTGTGAGAATATGTGCTTGTTTCACTGTATTGGACCCTGTAACCAAGCTTCTGTCCTTAATGCTACGCACACATTTCACGGATATACGTGTAGGTTTGTTGTGTGTGCATCTATGCATATAAGTAGGGAACAACGCATCGCAGTAGTTCTCAAACTAAACTAAAGATATTACAAAGGAAAAAAATCACATACTATGTACAGCTGGAAAAATATACCCTGCGAGAAATACATTTTTGATTGTTTGTAAAGTAGTAGATTCAGCTTTTTTCACACAATGATAAATATTGGTCACACAAATTTTTGTTATTGATAGTATCACATTTACAAATTAAATCATATAGAATTGCATAATAAAGATAATGAAGAAGACCGAGTAAGATTAAAATATAAAAAGCGATACAAAGCAATAAATAGCATAGCATAGGCCTAGTGTTAATTATTAATGCGAGATAAAAAGATTACTGATATAACTTATCCCACTATATCTGCATTTATCCTTATATTACATTACTAGATATTTCCAACCCTGAACAATACGTATAAATAAATCTTTAAACACATAAATATTTTTTAGAAACAGAATTAATAGCGATTAAATTTATATACAAAGTGACACTCTTGCTAGGGAATTTCAAAATAGTGTTGCTATCGTAAAACATCATTGGCGCAGAAAACTTCATATTTGTATACATGTGTAATCTGTCAAGTTAATTTTTATCTCATAATAGGTCGATAGGTATATATAAATTAATATATAAACATAACGTTCCCTAGTAAGAGAATCATTTTAGATAAGATTCGAGAAACAACTATATCCAGATCGAGGTGAGAAACACTGTAGTGGGATAAATATCAAGAATGAAGAACAGAAATATTATCTTTCTAGCTTCCTTATGGAATGGCTTAGTCATCGATTAATTGCATTGGATAGAGATCGGTCTCTGGGCGAGGCTAGTAGCCATTAATTATTACATAAGGTAGACTGTCAACTTTCATAAACCGTCTAGAGTTTGCGCATGAATTTTTCATTAGCCACTACCACTTGCGTAAACACTTCAAAGGTCGACTTTGACCGTGAAAGCCATAAGTTTAAAGCCATTATAAATTGAATTAGAGGAACATCTTGTTGCAAAAGTAAAATAGACTCAAAGTTTGTAGGCATTTCGCATCATTAGATCGAAATAGGCATCATGATCGATACTCGCACTGATAGCACTGTAATAGTTCAAAAATTCTTCTTCGGTAACCTATAATGAGAGTCATTCTATAGTTAGACAAAATTAGTTTTCACTCGAAGAATGCGGAAAATCTTCTCGCTTCTTAATTGCTACTTTATTCAAACATTCTAATAAAGAGAAAAGAAATTTCTTAGAAAAGAAAATACTCACAATGCCATCTCTAGTATTATTCTGTTCAAAATTTGCTAGGAACTTGTTCAGAATACTTTCCTCGCTTTCCTCGCCACTAATGTAACGAGGATGACATTTAACATTGTAAATCCCTTTCAAATCATCAATGGTAATCACTCCATCACCGGTTTTATCCAGTTTTTTAAAAGCTTGATCCACGACATTTTTGCGACTTTGAGACATTAGTGGCTAAAAAAAAATTTGTTTTCTCAAGAAGAATTCGCTAATTAATTGAAACATCTAATTAGGAAAATACACATACTCTTATGCCAACAATGAATTCGTTAACACTGATGTTCCCATCGTCGTCCTTGTCAAATTTGTTGAACATCTCCTGGACTTCCTCCTCTGCAACATCCAAACCACTCTCCTGGAGACCTTTAGTAAATTCTTCTATATTCAATTTCTTGTTTCCATCATCATCCATACGACGAAATATTCTGCATATAAATTAATTGCTTTAATAACATAGTAAATTACCTATTTTTTTTATTTTTTTAGGATTTCGTAACATTAATTTTTGCAGCATTAATAGATCTAATTTTTACATTATATGCGTAAGTTTTACACATGAAAAAATTATGATTGTTACATATGAATTTTTTATATTACATATTTTTACTTTTGCATCATACTGTATACGATAAATTAAACAAAATAAATTAATTTTTAACTCACCTGCCCAAACCAAGGATCCCATTAGCACCCCTGGCTAGGCAGAGCAGACGAAGTTTTTCTATGGAGTCCGTCGTGTTGTGTAGGGCACGTTGGGCCTTATGGATCATCTCAGTCTCTTGCCTGGTTGTCGCGCTTTGCGGTCTGTTCAAGAACATCCCTGGAAAAGGAATCTTACTGTATGACTCACGATTGTATGACTCAGGTATCTGAAAAGGTAACAGCAAATCTACATCAACATTTGGACTTTCTAATTATGTCAACGAAAAACAAACTAAACAACATTCAATTGCGTTCCTGATTATTTCAAAGGCTTGCCACTCTTCCGGTCATTTTAGATCAATTATGCGTGACTTGACTACTGCAATTTATTATCTTAATCAGATGGTAACAGAGATAACTAAGAGCTTGGTGGGGAGTAAAGAAACTGGAGGAAAGGTGGGAGTTGGCACTAATTTAGAACGTTATGCTGTTTTCTTTACTTATTTAATATGAATTTACAACGCTGAGTGTCTCCACTGTACAGGTTTCGATCGTTTCATTAGTTAGTCGTAATTTAATTTCCCTAAAGGCGCTATATGCTACCTGCCCTCGATTAATTAATCAAGTAACAAGAAAAGCGCGATAAAAACGTCGGTATTGCTTTTGATAGACGGTCAAAGGGAAAACACCAAATTGATTTTACATATAATTAATCGATTATTAAATCATCCTTGTGTCATATAGATTTTCAGTATGCTCAAATTGTCTTACCGAACAAAAATTCATTTTTACGGAGACAACAAACATTAATTTAAATAACATATTAATCTGAAGTTTAATCATCAATACATAATTCCCTAGGAATTATTTTGCAGAAATTATAATAATTTAATAATAATGTAGAAAACAATTTTATAAAAATTATTATGAAATTATTTTTTAGAAATTAAACTTTTTGTAGATAACATTACAATATTTCAGTTATAGTGGAAATTTCGACTGGCTATTTTAGTCATGATTATTCAAATTTTGTATTTTCGTTTATTTTTTATTTTCATTTTTATTTTGTTTTAAATTTAATTTTTGTAAATTACTTACCTTGATATACAAGAGGCAGGACTGAGGCTGCATGTACCGATTTTCTAATGTTATTGTGATCGACAGTTGGTGAAAAGAAATCGTGACTCCTTTGAGGAAGATCGGTAGGCGAGTGACGAGAGATTCTATGAACGCAAGTCCGTGCATTCTATAGGACAGTATACATTAGATTACATACGTGAACAAACGGAACACATTCACGTATGAAAACGTGGTGTGTCTGATGTGTACAATCCGTACGCCTGTCTGTAGAAAACGTATCCATAACGACCAATTGGTCACAACATGTGTATCAGCAAAAAATTCACGTGTGATCAGTCACTGATACCGATTTCCTGTCGATAATTCTTACATGGCTGTTCTTACTTGAGTTCTTATGAAACTGTGTTTAATTGTTGAATGGCAGTCATATTGTTCAAGAATAAATTTAAATTCTCAAAACTAAATGAGCAACTTTTCGGCTATTTAATAAAAAATGAATTTGTTTGAATTAATGTTAAAATTAAAATAATATATTACATGATTATATTAAACTATCACCTGATTTTTGTTGCAAGGAATTTACCCTATTCAACATATGTACATTTCTAATTACTATTGGATTGGCGAACAATATGTAAATACGTAACTTACTAAAATAATTTTATTTGTTTGACCGTGAAAATTATATAATTTACTAGCGAATCGATGTATTTGATCATAAAATACATTTAATTAAAAATGACTATAATAATTACTTTAAATAAGGAAATAAATTATAATATCCCAATACACTTTACAATATAATGATTATTATAGACATGAAAAATAAAGATTGAGAATTTCAGTTGATTTTATCAACATAAAAGCAGGTGGTAAATTATCGACTAATAAAAATCATATTTACCTTCTGTTGATAATTATATAGTCATAATTCATGAATTTTTTCAAATATATTAATTTTTTTTTAATGAGACAGTATTTTCGTGTTTAGTGCATTTTCTACATTAATGAACGCATTAGAAACATAAAAACTATTCATTTAGTGTACACTTCATTAAAAACCAAGAAAATTTTACGGGAATATTCTAGAATACCAGGTGCCATGTGTTGCATTCATCTACCAATCCGAAGAAGACATTTGGACCAAGTTGCAACCGGTTTACATTTCATTGGTGGATGTGTATTGCGTGGGTTCATTTCATTGGTGGATTATTACAATTTCCTTTTGCTATATCAAAGCGTCGCGGGCTAGATATGACAGTCGGCATAAAACAGCGGATCGGGTTGTTTGAACTGAATTTGGAAGTATTTTCGTTTTTTCTGCCATTATTTGTGAAGATTTCACGACAGCAATGAAAAAAACGTTAATATTGTTGTCAATTCTGTTCTTCCTAACAGGTAAATTTATTTAAAAGTTCATTCTAGTAAAAGAATAATATTAAAATACATACGTTAATGAGGAAGAAGATCAACATACATCTTTATTATTTAGGGTTCGTTGGTGCTGAGAATTTGGAAGAAGATGTTGGAACCGTGGAAAATGATTTGGGTGCTAGTCGTGAGGGATCTCGAACAGGTAAGATATTTCTTCCATTTTCCTTAGTCGTCGATTTCAATTAATTATCTCTGAAATGATGTATTTTTTGTGTCGGCATTTTGCGCACGGCATTCCCTGAATACAGGGAATTCTGATGTCTTTCAAATTTCGTTTGATTATCGATCATTTTGGACATGTAGCAAAATTTATAAGAATTCACGGAAATATGTTCCAGTATGTACTTCAAGGTTAAAAATTCAAATGTTTAAAAGAAGTTGAAGAAAATTTTTATTTACCGTTATTTTGCTGTATTGAAAATTAGATTTCATAGAAAATATTACTAAACAATACACTGCATAATAAAATAAAAGAATTTTAGGTATTTGCATTTATAAATCTAGATTTAAAAAAAAAAAAAAAATTACTTAAACCAGTTCTCACAAAAGTATATATATTTGAGGACATATCAACAATATCAGTGATTTTCGTAAATATTATTTCTGTGGTAATCACAAAGGTTTTTGCACATTAGGATCTTCTGTGACCTTGCAAGCTTGAATTTTTTATTATTTAACACTTAATTTATATTTTGGTATCATATTTACCTATGTTAGTTCTATGAATACTAACTCTTTTGCATAAAATAAAGACAATCTTTTAATGTAAACTATTTCTTATTTATTTATTCAGAAAATTTTACTGGGGTTATATATAGTCATAGGATGTTGTTCCAAGGTTATTTGTGATAACTATAATGTAAACCAGGTGTACATATGGAATCTGTGTGACATTTTCATATTTTTTTTTATTCATATCTGCCATCAATAATTGCGATTTCAATAGTTTTTTACTAAAAAATTGTAGCAATGATCTGAAACTTACACATATGCTGTTACTAATGTGTGCATATAGACTGAATTCAATATAGTAGTAGCAGCAGTAGCTTTTTAAATATCTCAAAAATTAGAACTAAGCAGCCTTACATATAAAGGAAAAAGTCATTGTTTAAAATGTTAATTTCAGTAATATATTTAAAAATGATAAAAATCTGAGATACTTTCTAAATAATTATTATAGTTTTTTACAAATTTTGATTGTGATATATAGATATAATCGATAGAATTTTATTTAACAAGAAAATGCATTTTGTAGACAATGAAGTGGTCCAGAGAGAAGAGGAGGCAATTAAACTGGATGGATTAAATGTGGCTCAAATGAAAGAGCTTAGAGAAAAAGCTGAAAAATTTGCTTTTCAAACTGAGGTCAATCGTATGATGAAACTCATTATAAATTCTTTATATCGCAATAAGGATATTTTCTTAAGAGAATTGATATCAAATGCGTCTGATGCATTAGATAAAATTAGACTACTCTCACTTACTGATAAAAATGTCTTGGACACCAATCCAGAGTTAGCAATTCGAATAAAGTCTGATAAAGAAAACAAGATATTGAGTATAATTGATTCTGGTATTGGTATGACTAAAAATGAATTAATTAATAATCTTGGAACCATTGCAAAGTCAGGAACTGCTGAGTTCTTAGGAAAAATGTTAGAAACTTCTGATTCTAAAGATTTGAATGATATGATTGGTCAATTTGGAGTTGGTTTTTATTCTGCCTTCCTAGTTTCTCATACAGTAGTAGTAACTTCGAAAAGTAATGAAGATAAACAACACATTTGGCAATCTGATAGCAGTAGCTTCAGTATTGTGGAAGATCCCAGAGGAGATACTTTGAAGAGAGGAACCACAGTTAGGTAATTAAAACAATATTTTATATATTTTTTATTTAAAAATTCAAGGAATTGAGTATAATTATTTCTTAATTACAGTTTGCAATTGAAAGATGAGGCATTGGACTTTTTAGAAGAAGATACCATTAAGAATCTTGCAAAAAAATATTCGCAATTTATCAATTTCCCTATCTATCTCTGGAGTAGTAAGGTTATTCAAGTAGATGAAGAAGATGAAGATGAAGATAAACATGTGAAAAAAGATGAAAGCGGAAAAGAAGAAACTACCGAAGATAAAGTAGATGAAGAGGAAGATGCAAAGATAGAAGATGCAGAGGAAGAGAAAAAAACGAAAAAAGTTGACAAAACTGTTTGGGACTGGGAGTTACTGAATGATTCTAAACCCATATGGACTTTGAAACCATCTGAAGTTGAAGAGAAAGACTACAATGAGTTTTATAAAGCATTAACAAAGGACACTCAGGATCCTTTGGCAAAGATTCACTTTGTAGCAGAGGGTGAAGTCACTTTCAAATCGCTTCTTTTCATTCCTAAAGTTCAGCCAAGTGATAGTTTCAATCCCTATGGCACTAAAGCAGACAATATTAAATTATATGTTAGGAGAGTTTTCATTACAGATAAATTCACAGATATGATGCCAAATTACCTATCTTTTATTCGTGGCATTGTCGACAGTGATGACTTGCCACTGAATGTCTCACGTGAAAATCTGCAGCAACATAAACTCATCAAAGTAATAAAAAAGAAATTGATTAGAAAGGTGCTTGATATGATTAAAAAAATCCCTAAGGAGGATTATGAGAAATTCTGGAAAGAATACAGTACCAATATCAAGCTTGGTGTAATCGAAGATGCTCAAAACAGAGCTAGATTATCCAAGCTTTTACTGTTTCAATCATCTGTACAAAAAGGTGTTACATCATTATCAGATTATGTTTCCCGAATGAAACCTAATCAACAGTACATCTACTATATTGCTGGCTCTTCTGATGAAGAAGTGAAGAAGTCTCCATTTGTAGAGAGATTAGATAAGAAGGGTTATGAAGTTCTGTACCTTACAGAAGCAGTCGATGAATACGCTATTTCTGCTGTTCCTGAATTTGATGGTAAAAAGTTCCAAAATGTAGCTAAAGAAGGTTTCTCACTTGATGAAGGAGAGAAAACCAAGGAGAGAATGGAACAGTTGAAAACCACCTTTGAACCACTAGTTAAGTGGCTAAATGATATTTTGAAGGATCACATTAGCAAAGCTCAGGTATCAGAACGTCTCACGGACTCTCCATGTGCCCTTGTTGCTAGTATGTTTGGGTGGACAGGAAATATGGAAAGATTAGCTATCTCAAATGCTCATCAAAAGACTAGTGATCCTCAGAAGAATTATTATTTAAATCAAAAGAAAACTTTGGAGATTAATCCAAGGCATCCGCTTATTAGAGAACTTTTGCGTAGAGTGGAAGTTGATACAACAGATCAGACAGCAAAGGACATTGCATTGATGATGTTCAGAACGGCAACTCTTCGATCGGGATACATGTTAAGAGAAACTGCCAGTTTTGCGGACAGTGTAGAACAGTTAATGAGGAAAACTTTAGGTATTTCTCTAGATGAAGTTCCTGAAGAAGAAGAAGTACAGGAAGAAGATTTTAGGCCAACAGAAAAACAGGGATCAGAGAAAATCATAGACATAGACGCAAACGAAGATGAAGAAGACGAAAAAAAGCATGATGAATTATAATTGAGATTTGTATCACATTAGACTATAATTTTGTAGTTGTCTGACTATACAATGTATAGTGACTGTCATTGCAAATACAACGTTTGTTCGTTGTTACGAACAAAGATGAACTGTTGTACAGAGAAAAAAATAATAGTTATATCCTTTGATGATACCTTGCATAATTTCACTGTTTTTTGTAATCATATTATTGCAACGACGCATCAAAGGATATGATAATTAAACAAACATAAAAGGAAAGATATATATCGTTACTTAAGTTTGTCATCATATATGTCGTAAGTTCCATTTTCGATAAAAAAATGTCATAATTTATTTCGTTTGATCTTCCACCTTTTTATATAAGTAAAGTGAAAGGAATTACGGACTGAACGTAATAAATATGTATAGTATGTTTGTGATGCGAATGAATGTATTTGTATAAAGAATATTAAAAAATGATTACTGAAATATCATTAATGTTACCTTTCCTTACATGTTGGCCCTTATTATGTTTTATCCTTTTTATCCAGAAAAAATGAGATTATGTAGTCAATCAAAAATAATTACCTAATTGTCGAAAACGAAAATAAAAAACAAATTAATGTTTTTATTTTATGGAAATAGACAATGATTATTTTCTAAATATAACATTCGCTAATTAAAATAATCAAACTTTATAAAATAAAATTTTCATTTATTATTTATGCTAATTCTATATTTTATTATATATGTACTCACAAAAATTAGAAGTAGTAGTAGTTAGAATGACTTAAATTTGATGCTATATGAAAAATATTTAAGATATTTTTTAAATTGATATATTTAAAATTATTATTCTAAAATTTGTACATTGACTGAAATAATTTTGGAGCCATTTCTTCAACAGTTTGTATTTTCAAAACAACGTTAAGTTATTCATTTCCGGTAAGTAGAGTTGATTCCGATGGGTAAACCAATGGAAGAATTAATTCCCATGGAACTGGGACAAACAACGTAGATATCCGAGCGCGGCCGAGCGCTCATTTCCGTTTTCGAATCCGACGTCACCTACTCTCAAAGCCCGTGTGTTTTGTGTTTCTTTGGGGCCACGATGATTATCGCTAATTTAATGTAAGTATTGTTTTATTTCAGATTGCGGTTGACTAAATTATATAAGTCAGAATTCGCATGGTGTCGTTCGTATGGGAAACTGGTCACGAAACCGCGCGAATTCCTTGCGTAAATTTTACGCGAATGAACGAAGACCTCGCCATGCCGGTCTATAAAGCCCCTCTTTCCCGAGCACATTCAATTAACCAAGCAATAATGGTGAAAATCATTGCTGGCTATCTTTCGTTTTTGTCGCAACGATTGTTTCGGAAAAATCAATCGACTTGACTGAGTAAAGAAAACTGGATGAGACGGATGATCACATATAAACAAAATAAATGGCGTCGGTGTACTTGTATCCTAAGTATGACAAATTTCAAGTTCTCGAGTGTTCCTTGATTAAAGATTGAAATTTCAGTATTTCAAAGAATATTTCTTCAGAACTTTTTAAAAAAAATTTTAGTAATTTTAATGACTTTTTACGAGATATTATGGCCATTATAATCATTAAGCGTTGCATGACCTCTTTCACAAATTTACATTTTATAGAAAAAAATTTGTAGTTAAGCATGTGTCCAAGCTGTCAAATAAATTTTACAAACCGCATTCCCAGTCGTTCTTGAACGATTTATTTTTAGCCCTAAGAATATTATAGAGAGTGAAAGAAGGAGAGAGAGAGAGAAAGAGAGGAAGAGAGAGAGAGAAAGAGAGCGTGAGGGGGGAGGGAGAGAGGAGCTTGTGGATACACGATACAAGTAATAGGCTTTGTTTGTTTTCCAGGTTGAAATTATTGAAACTGAAATTAGATTTCTTCGTATCTTAAAAACATCTCAAACTGAGCTAAGAGAATCATTCAGCCATATAATAAAATTTAAAAAAAAAACAAAGGAAAACATTGTAACATTACGTGATAACCAAACAAGTTTAATTAATAACTCTACATCACTGAAAAATCTTGAGCAAAATGGGCATTCAAGATTTGCAAGTCTTTCTGGATATTAATTATATACAAGGTGGATCTGTACCTGTGGATCTGTTAAAAATAGCACGTACAATTACGCAAAGACAACATAATCGCGTTGGCAAAGCACAACAAATACATTCTGGAAAATTAAGACTAGTCCTTGATGGAGAATGCTGCCTAGATAGATTATATGGAGGGTATTTTTCAGGTATACACATATTTTTTCTCTACAACCAATATATTGAATAAATTATTCACTGAAGTTATTTATCGTTTAGATTGGGCTTGTGGAGGACAGTGGAATAGAATGTTGCAATTTTTAGCTGTTCTTATACAAGCAACAGAAATGTCAGGCTTAGAATTAGCTGTATTTTTTAATGGATGTTTTGAATCTCCTAGACGTGCAGACTGGGTTTTAAACCAATTACAAGTGCGAATTAAAGTAAATAATGTAAGTGATAATTCATTGAAGCATTCAAAATATTGTGTCAAAATTCACATAATTAAATAGTAATTTTTTTCAGGTATTAAAACACATTTCCACCAAGGGAACCCCACCGCCAAAAATTTGGTGGACCCCACCAGTTTGTTTGAGAACCAGTCTACGTATGGCTTTGCGTCACTTGAATGTTACAGTACTGTGCAGTATGGATGATCATCATCAAGAAGTAATTGCGTATTGTCGAGAAAACAATTTCAATGGTTTAATCGCCGACGATGCGGAGTATGCTGCATTTGATCCTCCACGGTACTTCTCATCTGAACAGTTGAAACTCACATACAAAGGCTCTCTTGACACTAAAGAATATATTCTTCCGGAACTTTTAAAAACTTTAAACATCCCATCTGATAGACTATGTTTACTAGCCGCGTTACTTGGTAATTATATTTTAACTGAGAATGACCTGGCCGATTTTTACAAAAAACTGGATATCACTACTAATCTGAATAAAGTGAATGTCATACATACAATTAAAACAATAGCCAATTTTGTTCGGGATTTACCATCTGTTGAACTAGATGTAGTTTCGCAGAAGGTTTTCGGGTCCCTATCAGATCCGAGGTGTTCGAAATTAAGGCAATCAGTTCAGTACTATATAAACGGAACTAAAGACGGATTTTTGCATTACAAACCAGTGAAACAGAATAGAGGTAAATTGTTTCTTCAATTTGGCGGATATGACATTATTATTATACTTCAACCTTAATGAATTAATTATTTCAGTACACAAATTAGATTCCAAGCAAAGTGTGCAACAATCAAATTTATCAGAAACGCCGTCAACCTCTGAGGTAGATTCGAATTTAGAAACATCCAGATTCGCGTCCGAAACCGTGGAAAGTGAACGCGAGAGTTTGAATGCATATAAACAAGCCACTGCAAACGCAAAGACCGCGCCGCAAATTGTGATAGATCCACCAGGTATTCAGGGCCATGGTGATACTGATAATATTAGGACAGAGGAAGAACAAAATAATGGACATGCTATAAATGGTACACACAATCTTCTAATCAGTTCGTCCAGTTCAAGTAGTAGCTCTTCCGCTACATCTCCATCTCATGCAACGGCTGATTCGTCGAAGCAAGCGGAGAAAACGATGACTATTCCGAGCACGGTGCCAGAAGTAATGCGTACCGCTTCCGAACGGCATCAGAAAGGCTTAATGTCTCCTCATATTTATCAAATCCTCATTGCTGGAGAGATTAAGCTTCCTGTTCTTCTCGAAGACGAGAATCATCGCGAATTTCCATCGATTCATCTTATTTATAGACCCGTCAGGCAAATGGTATACGCAATATTATTCAACCTCCATCACAGAATGTATTTAGCTGCTAAGAGTAAAGAGAAGGGAGGTAGGTAAATTAATTTCCTTTCGAAATATTTTGAAATGAGTAATATTTTTTGTATTACTTTTGGTTAATAGATAGTGAAAAAATCGAAGTCCCAGATGTTGTAATAAAGGAGTGGATATGGTCCAAATCAAATCCATACCTAACTCCTGAATCTGTAAAAGCAGAACAAATTGGTTGGGGTGTTCCTACGATTCAACGTTTATGGTTTGGGTACGTGATTATTTTGCATTGTAATTTTTTTATCGTATATTAGTAAAAAATTGATATGAAATTTTCATTTATAGCACAGGTATAGACGACAAACGTCGTCGTTTACGGGGATTCTTGACCTGTATGAAATCAGATACACCTCTTATGTTAAACACCTCGTATGTACCACAACACCTTTTAGTTATGGCATGTGTACTAAGGTAACTTACAGTTCTCACTTTTCCAAGACTTATTTTTTCATTAATTAAATATTTTTTAATTAGTATATTTTTATTGCAGATATATCATGTCGTTTTCGGATAAAATAAAAGTTCTACGTCGTTGGGAATTAGACGCTTTTATTGCACAAGCATTTTCGCCAGAGCTTATGAATGCTCAGTATTTACAAGATCTCCAGGTAACTTAAATAACTTTTTAATAATTATTATATTAATGTAATAAGAATTTAGTATTATTTTGCTTATTAAACTTCTTTACACAGCTTCCTTCTGTGACTTCGCGCGGAGTTCAATTAGCAACCTTATTTATGGCAGGGG